TAGGTACATGTGACTACAATAAATCAAATCAAATCAAATCAAAATCAAACACTGTTCAACAGCAGCAGCATACACTGCCAACAAAGTACACTGCAGATAATCACCAAGGATCCTTAGACAGAATCTTACAATCCATAAGCAATTAGAAGGATGAGGGCAGTAGATAAGTGGGATGACCACTTGAAAGATCCCCTCATTATCCTGAATAAAAATCGAAAGAACTGAGGATGCTGTAGTTATCTTTGTAGTAAATACCTTCATCTAACTCTGATTATTAGCTGCTGCAGTGTTATATTCTTCTATTCTTTTCCCAAAGCAACCTATGATATTTTAGAGTGAAGTTACTAATTCAATGACCATTCCTGTCAAACTAAGAGGGCCATTTTGTACTTTCAGCCAAAGCTAACTTGGAACGAGATCTAGGTTGCCCAAACAATACTGGAATTGAAAACCCAGTTCCTCGAGACAATTGCTTTGGGCCTAATCGCCATAGTGTCGCTTAGAACCTCCCGAATGTACTGAAGTGTGTTAGCCTTGAGTCAGTGATAGTGCTCTCACTTCTGAATGAGAAGGTCATGGTTCCTAACCCCATTCCACTGATTTAACAATATTATCAGCAATGATATAGGCTGGTACTTCCTTAGAATTAGAGCACCACCTTCCGAGACATCAATTCCTCTGGCTGCTTCAGTTTGCTTTCACATTCCAAAGATGTGCAGATTGGGGGGATTGGCCATGCTAAAAAAAAAACTTCCCCATAGTATCCAGGGGTGTGTAGGTTAGCCATAGTAAAACTGGGTGGGGGGCTCAATCTGGGTAATGTTCTTCAGAGGGTCAGTGGAGACTCCGTGGCCTCTTTCTGCGCTGTAGGGATTCAATGGTCACATTTCTTAACATAAGATATGGAATTGTGCTGGAAACACAAGATAATCATCTAGAAGCAATGGTTCATATTAGAACCAACTTACGTTAGGATCAGGCCATGCAGATCGATTCCTAAGTGCCATATGTAGCCGAAATAACAAGACCAGACCTCATGTGTACTAATTTTACATGTTGTTGTTAACACTGATTAGGTGAAGTAATCCATCAGCACATGATAATCTCATCATACCATGTGTTGTAGCTTTCATTTACTTGTCCTGAGAAATTGTTCCACTTTCCTGGGGATTCAGATTTATAGAATCCCTACAGTGTGGAAACAGGCCATTCGGCCCAACAAGTCCGCACCAACCCTCTGAAGAGCATCCCCCTTCTCTATCCATGGAAACCTGCATTTCCATGGCTAATGCACCTAACTTACACATCACTGAACATCATGGGTAATTTAGCATGGCCAATTCACCTAACTTGTAGGTCTTTGGATTGCAGGAGGAAACCAGAGCACCTGGCGGAAACCTATGCAGACACAGGGAGAATGTGCAAACTTCACACAGACAGTCGCCCAAGGCTGGAACAGAATCCAGGTCCCTGGCACTGTGACGCTACAGTGCTAACCACTGAGCCACCATGCTGCCTTTCATTTACAGTTATTCCATCTAGCATTTCGATCTTTCCTAAGCAACATTAAAGTTGCTTCCACTTTCCAGGGTGAATGAGATTTCCAAATCCCAGGAACATCATATTTTCCTTTTGCAGAAAACTGCTTACAATTTCTAATGATTGTATTATTTGGGAAAATCCCAATTAACTTCAATCTTCACAAAGATCACTGCCATGTAACAACTATTTCCTGATATTCTAGTTCCCAGCTTCTTTCAATTATGGTGGCATCCTGCACTGTAGGCTTTCATACATCAACCTGGGTCACCTACAGAAGATCAGTGTGGTAGAGGAGAACAGAGTGACATACTGTTCTTAGATTTTAAAAACCAAAGCAATTTACAATTCTCTATTGGGAAGCATCAATGAAATATGAAAATTATGTGTTAGTCCATGAGGATATTATTAATTACTGCACAAATATTTGATTTAAATCTATTCAAAAGCTAACCGCCAAGTAAACAAAAGAATTAGACAATAAAATACAGGACCTTTTTATACTTTTTCATGAGAAGTGGGCATAACTGGCTCATCTATATTTATTGTCTATCTTGAATTGCCCTGTGAGGTAGTGATGAGCTGTCATCTTGAACTGTTGGAGTCCTTGGGTTGGAAGGGACACTCTCATTACTGTTAGGAAGGGAGTTCCAGAATTTTGACCCAGCAACAGTGAAAGAACTGCAATATAATTCCAAGTCAGCGTGGGGAGTACTTGAAGAGGAAATTACAAGCAATGACATTCCCACGTATCTGCTACCTTTGTTCTTTTAAGTGATAGAGATTGTGGGTTTGCAGGTGGTCTTGTAGGAGTCTTGGTAAATTGCAGCAGCTCATCTCGTAGATAGTACACACTGCTGCAAATATTAGCCGGCCGTGGAGGGAGTGGATATTGAAGGTTCTAACCAAGCGTGCTGCTTTCTCTCACATGATGTTGAGCCTTGAGTGTTGTTGGAGTAACAATCCTTGAGGCAAGTGAACAGTAATGCATTAGATTCTCGAGTTCTGCTTTGTAGATGGTGGACAGGTATTTGCTTACTGCAGAATTCTCAGACTCTGACCTGCTCTTACAGTCAGAATTTTGATAGTCAGGGATTCACCAATGATCACGTCACTGACCATTTGAGATGGTCATTGTCTAGTACTTCATTGGTGCATATGGTACTTGCCATCTATCAGCCCAAAGCAGGTTTCGCTCTTCAGGGACGTGGTCTGTTTCAATGCCCAAGGAGTGTTGAACAATCATTAGCAAACATCCCCACCTCTGACCTTATAATGGTGAGAAGCTGATCATGGATAAGCAGCTGAAGGTGGCTAGGCCTAGGACCATATCTACGAGGGACACCTATAGTGGTGCCCTAAGACTGAGAATATTAGCCTCAACTGCCATTATGCTTTGTGCCATGTACAATTCCAAACAGCAGCAAGTTCTCCTGCTGCACTGATTCCAATTTTGCTGGGTTCCTTGTGCCATACTCAGTCAAATATTGTCTTGATATCAATGACAATCACTGTTGCTCAACTCCGTAGTTCAGCTCTTTTGTGCATGTTTGAATGAAGGCTGTAATGAGGTCAGAAACAGAGTGGCTCTAGTGATACCCAAAGTGAGCATCAAGAAGCAGAGCAAATTATGCTTAACAGTGCTGTCAGTGACCCCTTCCAGCCCTTAATTAATCATCAAGAGTAGACCCTGAAGACAGCAATTGGATCAGTGTTGCTTTTTGTGCAGAGGATGTACCTGGGCAATTTTCCATATTGTCACCTAGATGTCACTATTATAGCTGTGCTGGAAGCTTTTGGCTAGAGACACAGCAAGTTCTGGAGGACAAGTCTTCAGTACAGTTGCTGGAATGTTGTCAGGGTCCTTAGCCTTTGCCATATCCAGTGCCTTCAGCTACACCTTGATGTCACATCAAGTGAATCAAATTCAAAAATTGGATGCGACGCTGGCGGTCTCGGGAGGCAGTGATGGATCATTTACTCGGCACTTCTAGCTGAAGATCTATGCAAATGCATCACTGATGAGTTGGGCATCTCTATAATTGAGGACTGTAGAGCCTCTTTCTCCTTGGATGGTAATACAGAGGACTGTGCAGAATCAACAGACATGGGTTTGTCATTCTCCTAGGTTGATGCTGTGTGGTCCATACAGATTCTGATTTTAGATTATCATAGATCAACATCTGCAAGCCTAGTCCCTTCTCTGCAGAAACTAATACTTGTTTGCTTCAAAAAATATGGAGCTTGATTTTACCTTTTGTGTGCAATTAACAAAATTGATCTAAAATTGCAGTGGTTTTCAGGTGTTTTTTCTGAGTTTTCTTCCAAACTCATTTGCATATTGCCATTGCAGAACTTTCCCCAAATGTGGGGAGTACTCAGATTTTAAATTACTGAAAATTACTTTTTAAAAGTAATAAGAACATTTCCTACTTATATTAGGGGACTATGATCAGTTTCATAGCAAATCAGAAAAATGCACACTTAAAGGTTTGCCAAATCCTTCTATTGGTGCCTTTGTGCCCAATAGAACAAGCCTACTTTTTAAGAGGCTTACAAATGAGCGCAATTTATGGAAACTCCTCATGGTGACATGGCCACTTGTTTGGATAAAGCCTGCATCTCGCATAATTTTTTTTAAACCTCATGCAAAAATTGAAGAAACTCAAGTTGCACCAAACGCGATTATCACTTAAATGTTCTGCAGATATCCACGCTGGGAAATTGCAACTGAACAAAGACTTCACATCCAGCATTTTAATTTGGAGAGACTAGAAAAACTTTTCTCATTAATGCTGAAAGGTTAAGTACAAATTGAGTAGAGGTGATTAAATTCTGAACTCTTTAACCCAAGGTTAATGTGGATAAAGAATTTTCATTAGTTGCTGAGTTGATAACCAGAAGGCACAAATTTAAGTACCGTAAAAAGACAGATGAGTATTTAATGCAAGAGATTGTTGGGACATGTAACATCCAATGAAAACCAACATTAGAAACAAAAAGCATAATAGAATGGGAATTGGGCAAACATTTGACAAGAAGAATTAAAAATATGGGGAAAGGATAAGAAGAAAGGAGTACGTAGATAGCTCAATAGTCGGGCTAAGTATCCGGTCCTCGTAAACAAATTAAACTCAAGCATTTAATTTTAATAAGTCTGATATGTTTACTTATTGCCAGCATAAAACTGCCCAAATGGGATCTTTATAATGCTCAGATGTGAAACACCAATGACAAAATTCATGTGTGGGAATACTCAAAAAAAGGCGTGAGAAACGGCCATACATTTTCAGAATTAAATCAAGCTGAGGTTTGGAAAACTGTGCCTTGTCAATTGACTGTAATTTCAGGAATATTATGCAAGACATTGGGAAGGTAAAGGTTTATAATAATTTGCTGAAATTAATTTTGTGGACTTCTGCAAGCTATAGTTAATATTGCTTATTTCAAGCTTGTTGTACCTCTTGATGTTCATTAGGCTTTCCAACTCCTTCGATTTCTGAGCAGCTTTCTTCAGCACTTCTTCAGGGACACTTGCTAGTTTCGCAACATTCAGGCCATAGCTGCGATCAGCAGCTCCCTCCGTCAGTTGATACAGAAAAGTGATCAACTCTGGTTGCAACTCCTCCACATATCCTAGGGGATTAAAAGGGTTTTTGTCAATAATTCTCTCCCAGGCTAACAACTAAAGCAGATGGCTGGCATTAAAAAGTGAATAGTTCTTGTGCATTATTTGTAACAGAATAAGTGCAGAATGAAAAGACTCAAATCCATCTCCCCCTGTGTCACTTAGCTAAAGGACTTCTGTATAAAGTAAAAACGCCTGTGTGCTTATGTTCAAAGTGTGTCCAGACACACTGTATGATCGGAGTAATCCTTGTTCTCCGGTTTCTTCACAAAACTTATTCATGCATTTTTTGTGCAAAATGACACTTTATATGTACAGTGGATCCATTTAATTACAAAACACCATTTACCAGATACACTATATTGAGTAGATTTGTAAACAGCTGTCAGCGGATTAAAATAGAACTGCCACACACTTTGAAGCAAATATTTGATTTTAAACAGACTGGAAGGTTGCACTGTCCAACACTTCTCACAGAGAATTCATGTTGGGCCTCACCAGACTGTGCATAAATATTTTGCCAGCATAGTGCTTCAAAGTGCTTGTGAAAATCGTTTTAAGTGCAGACAATTCATAAGACAGATCACTACCCAAAATCTAGGAACTTCTCAGTTTACTTCTATGAGTAACACAAGTACATGTGGATGGGCCATTCATTTCAATGAAGCTCTTTTTTTTTTAAACACCTTAATTTTTTTGGTTATAGTTTCTGGTTACATTATGTCCCAAATACTTTTATTTGTCTTTTCCACATAACAAGTTACTCTCAGCATCCATTCTTTGAATAAAGAAGGTTTTTCTAATTTTATTTTTAAATTTACATTTCATTAATCTAATTTTTCTGGGTTATTTTTGAAATACATTATCAATAGTATTTAATATTTTACATCTGAAATAGGTTCATAGAATTGAACAATCCAAATAACCACTCAGGGGATACTTATTTCAAAATAACGTGACAACTTACTGCAGTAAAAAGTTCTAGAATTCTTTTCTTCTCTTCAACACATTGTAGCTGTCCTTATTTGCTGCCTAATGATGGTCCATTCACTGATAGTCAGGATTATGGATTGGGATTTTGTGGGATAACAGTGACCCATTCACCAGCCAGTGGGTTGGGATAATCTCACCTCAGCTGACCATGGCACCTCACCTGCATTTTATACTCATTAAGCAGCTACTGTGTGCAATCGGGGCTTCCGCCCCTTCAAGGGGTAAAGTTCTGCCCCCAAGAATTGCCAGCCAATCCAATGTCTGTTGAGCTGTTCAGTCCCAGCAGCATTTAGCGGAAGCAGTGGCTACTCCTGGAACAACAACAGGCCAGAATCAGGCACGATGGTGGAAGCACAGGATCACAGCTTGGTCAGGCGGTGTCTGCTGAAGTGAATCAGGCAGGCAGGCACTAAGGGAGCGCTTTTGACAGGAGTGACCCTCTGGGCACCACCAGACGCCTGATGAATAGAGTTGAACTAACACCCCACAACGCTCAGCCTGGGTGGAGGCCACCAGCAAATACCTGGCAGTTTCCCCACATGACAATGTGCCCCCCAGAGTTGGCAAAATGCAAGTGGTAGCCGTTAATTGGACTGAAGGCGGGACGGTAGTCTGCCACCTTCCCCACAACTGTTAAGATACTGGTAAAATGGTGGGAAGGCAATGGGCATGGCACCACAATTAAACCACTCCATTTTGTGAAAAGGGGTGTAAATTTACAATGTCTTCTGGCACTATTCCCATATCTAAGGAGGATCAAACAATTGTGTTCAGAAAGTCTCCCATCCTCACCCCAGCTTCCCTCAGCAAACTGGACCAGGTGACCTATTACCTTGGAGTGACACCACTTTGAGTGAGACCTGCTTATTTTATTTCTATTTATCTTTGGCTATTGCGCCAAGGGGCCGAGCTTCAGACACATTGGGGGCAGGGAAATATTTCCTACATACTTGTACCAGGAAGAAATCACACTCCTTAGCATAGGATCTTCTGATTTTGTCAGTGTTCAGAGACAGAAGTGCAAATAAGGGGACCCAGAGGGTATCAGTGCAGAAGCCTCAGCCCTTGCAAGTGGCTGACAAGTTTGAGATCCTTTCAGCTTCCTGAATGAGAATGGGGTCAGCAGGGTGGATGAGCTCCCTGACTTGGGCACAACTGTACAGGAAGACATTCAAGCGGAGGTAATAAATGGCCATGTAGTGGTCGTGAAGGTAGTATAGTCGAGAGAGTGAGAGTTCAGACAGCTGTGTTAGGGTTCAGGATATTACATACTTCAGATAAAGTGCCACATCCAAGAATGCTGTACAAGATGAGAGTACATGGTCTAAGAGGTAACATATTACCATGAATAATCAATTGGTTAATTTACAGGAACCACAGTGTAAAGATAAATAGTCTTTTTGGGTTAGAAAACTATAACTAGTGGAGAATCCCGAAGAGAGTAGTATTGAGTCCTCAACTATTTTCAGTCTATATCAATGACTCGGTTGACAGGACCAAATGTATGGCTGCTACATCTGCCAATCATAGCAAAGCAGATAGGAAATTAAGTCTTCAAGAGGAGGTATAGAGTCTGAAAAGAAATATAGACAGCTTAAATGAGTCGGTGAAAATTTGGTAGATGGAGCATGAACTAAGTAAATGCCCATTTTGGCAGGAAGAATAGAAAATCAGTGCAACATTTAATTGAAAGAGATTGCTGAACTCTGGGGTGCAGAGGAAACTAGTGTGTTCTGGTACATGAATCAGATCACGTTCATAGGCAGGTACAGCAAGTGGTTAGAAAGGCAAATGTAATGTTGTCATTTATTGCGAGGTAAATGGAAATGGAAATTATGAAATCCATTTTCAGCATTGTATGTTCAGGCTTTAGTCAGTTCCAAGCATTGCTGGGTGACAACATTCATTTCTGCCTAGAGATACGGGAGGCACTTAGAGTCACAGAGTCCAATAGCAAGGAAAGAGGTCCTTTGGCCCACCACTCCCATGGAGGTCATCAAACACCTCTATTCTAGTCCCATTATCCATCACTTGAACTGGAGTCTTGTATGCTTCAAATGACAATCTAAATGGTTCTTAAATGTTTTGATAGCTCCTGACTCTACAACCCTTTCAAACAGTGCGTTCCAGGCTTGTTGCAAGGTTTATGATAGGTCAATCAGGTCAGTTTGGAGGTTATTGAAGACATGTTCAAATGACATAGAGCTGAAGGAAGAGAGTGGTAGACTCCATGTTAGGAGTACAACAATTAGTTATGCTGCTGGACAGGTTGCTGACCTACATTGACTCGGTGTAGGGGACTCAGTAAGGAATCACGAGCAGTTGAATGAATCGGTGCTGTCAGATTTTGGAGGGAAATTCTAGGAATTAGTAGACAACTAAAGGATGGAGTCAGAATTCAGAACAGGTCCTGGGGAACTGAGAAGCAGGAAGGTCACAGGCTCAATGTAGGGGAAAGCCATGAAGGCCTCTGAAGAAGCCCATGAGCTTTAATACGTCAGTACAGCTGAAAGGAGTGCTGAAAATTTGATGAATGCTGTGGGACATCAATCGCAATCAATTACCTATATTTACCACACGTTAATTCTTGGTGTATTGTATTATTATGTTCCCCAATATACATGTATTATTGTTCCAACATTGTGAAGTAGAGTTTATGATTCTCTGAAGCTTCATTCTCTTAGCACTTGATCCCTCATTTTTCCAACTTAAATAAAATGTTATTGATCCCTGGCCAGACTGTAAAATAAATTTGGCCGTCTGGTTTAGCATTGCTACAGAATTCTGGAAGTAGGGAGGTTTTACTGCAGCTGTACAGGGCGTTGGTGAGGCCACATCTGGAATATTGTGTAGGGTTTGGTCTTCTCATTTCAAAAATGATAAAATTACTTTAGAAGGAGTTCACAGAATGTTCACTAGACTTATTCCTGTGATGAAGGGCTTATCTTAAGAAAAAGCATTAAGACTATATCCAATGGCATTTAGAAGAATGAGAGATGATCTTGTCATAAATGTAGGATCTGGAACGGATAGATATGCGGAGAATTACAAGGGGAAGAGACAGGTGTTTGGCATTTCCGCGGCCACAGAGACTCCAGGATGGTACCTTGTTTCCCTGGCGCCGGGGTCAGGGAAGTCATTAAATGACTGCAGGGCATTCTGAAGGGGGACAGCAAACAGACAGAGGCTATGGTACATATTAGTACAAACAAAACAGGGAGAGAAAGGGATGAGGCCCTGCAAGCAGCATTTAGGAAGCTAGGAAACAGATTTACCCAAAAGATAGTAATTTCTGGATTACTTCTGGTGTTATGTGCTAGCGAGTATAGAAATAGGAGGTTAGTCCAGATGAGAGTGTGGCTGGAGAGATGGTGTAAGAGAGAGGGTCTTAGATTTGTGGAACATTGAAACAGTTTTTGAGGGTGGTGGAACCTGTCTGAGGTGGACAGGTTGCATCTGAACCGAAATGGGATCAGCATCCCTGCAGGGTAGTTTATTAGTGCCACTGGGGAGGGTTTAAACTAACTTAGCAGGAGAGCGAGATCCTGAGAGATGGTTCATCAGGAGGAGATGAATGGCCAAAATTAGAAGAGACAGCAAAGCATAGACATTATAGGCCAGTTAAGGCACAAGGCGAGGTGGGCAAGATTGATATTCATTTTAATGCATGGAGCCCGATACAAAGGTAGATGAGTGAAGGGCATAAATTAAAACATGGAGGCATGCTGTCACTTCTGTCACCGCAATATTGTTGAGAGAGGGGCAGGATTGGCTGCTCAATATTCCAGGATACGGGGTCTTGAGACAAGACAGACAAGGAGGTAAAAGGGGAGCAGATATCACAATATTGAGCAGTGAATCAATTACGGCATTAAGGAGGGAAGATATATTAGAAAGCTCCTCAAATGAAACCATGTGGTGAGAACTTAAGGCCCAAAAAGAAATAATCACATTACTGGGAGTGTACTGTAGGTTCCTAACAGTCTGAGAGAAATTGAAGTGCAGATATGTAGGC